GCACTCAGGACCGGCTGCTGCTGCCCCACACTGGCTACGCCCGAGCGTGGAGCCCTGCCGAGGACAGCCGCGTGCGCCTGGCTGCCCGACACTGCCCCGCCTGAGCCGCGGGACCGGGCCCCCGCCACCTACAGCAAGAGAGGCATGCCTGACCGGGCTCAAACTCAGCGTATTTCCCGTCTTGCCCCGGCTTCCAGTGGCTTCCCGCCTACTACACATGCTTAGCTGTCCCTGCACCCAGTCAGGTCCACTGTCATGAGCAGGAGGCACTGGTGAGGGAGGACACACTGAAGAGACGCTCTTATTTCCTCTCTCACTCTGGCTGCCAGGAAGCTCATAGATGATTTATACTTAGGAACTTTGTGTCTGCTTTTATTTGCTTTGCCCCATGCTCACCTTCGTAGAGACACTGTCACAAACGAGCATGGCCCAAAGGAAGACTGCCCAACAAGACCTTGGAATAGAGCAGTTTCCCCTCTTGCCTTGGCTACCAGGATGTTCACTGCTGTTTAACTCCCTGACACTCTGTGCTCTCTCTCTGACACACGTACGCCTCATGTGTTCAGAGACACCATCTCCAACAGACATGCTCCCTAGAAGACACGCCTACCCAGGCACTGTAAGGTACCCATTTCCCCTTTTGCCCCGGCCACCAGGAAGCTCAGAGATAATCTTGAGCGCCTCAGCAAGTCTGGCTGGGTCTTTCTTTCTTTCCTTTCCTTTTTTTCCTTTTCTCCTCCTTCCTCCCTTTGTCCCTTCATCCCTTCGTCCCTTCCTTCCTTCCTTCCTTCCGATTTTATTTTATTTTATTTTTATTTTTTTCAACGTTTATTTATTTTCTTTGGGACAGAGAGAGACAGAGCATGAACGGGGGAGGGGCAGAGAGAGAGGGAGACACAGAATCGGAAACAGGCTCCAGGCTCTGAGCCATCAGCCCAGAGCCTGACGCGGGGCTCGAACTCACGGACCGCGAGATCGTGACCTGGCTGAAGTCGGACGCTTAACCGACTGCACCACCCAGGCGCCCCCCGATTTTATTTTTAAAATAATCTCTACGCCCGATGTGGGGCCCGAACCCACAACCCGGAGACCTAGAATCACATCCTCCCCCGACTGAGCTGGCCAGATGCCCCTGGCTGGGTTTCTTTCGGACAACACTGCTATCCATCCCTGTTTCTGCCTATTTAATCTTTGCGAGCCCTTTTACGACAAGGACACCCCAGTGACACATAACGCGGCTGCAGAAATTCCGGGATGTGCTGGTGGTCAGACCCACGGTCACGCTGTCACGATGTGTGCACAACACTCTCACGTGCACCCCAGCCCTCCTCCTCCTCCTGCTGGTCCAGTGCCCCCTCCCCACGCCCCCTGAGGGCCACACTGCCATCTCATGCCACCCGGGGCCCCGGTCCCTGTCCTCCTGTGTTCTCCTGGATATGTTCTACTCATCAGTCTTCTGGGGCCAGGAGGGCAGACCTAGGCCAAGTGTGAATTGGAGGCACCTGGAGGGTGTCACCCAACAAACCTTCTGGGGGCACTCTGGAAGGGCCACCCTTTACCTTCTCTCCCTGGATGGGACACTCTGGTCTTCTGTACCGTCCGTGGC